CCCGGCTGGAGCCGTCCCCGCCGCTCCCACGCCCGGCGCCGCCCTCCCAGCCGGCGCTCCTCTCCGCCCCGCCACGCACTCCCCCGCGAGCCTGGCCTCCCCAGGTAACCCCCCTGAGGTGACTTCCGCGGCTGTACCCCATCAGCCGCCGCACTGTCTCCCAAGCAGCCCAGCCGCGCCTGCCCCCTGCCCATCCCCCTCCACTGTACCCCCGCAATGCTCCCCACAAATGTGAACCACCAAAGTTGAGGGCCCAGGGGGCGGTTTGCAGCCCAAATCGGGCCTCCATGCTCCGACACATCCAGGCCCTCCAGTGAGGGGATCGGCTCGGTTCCTGGAAAGGGGGGTGAAGGGGAGCAGCTCCAGGGAACAAGGAAGGAGCAGGTTCCCACAGGCCCGGTGTGTGCGGCCCAGCAGCAGGAGTTTGGGTGAGGAAAGGGCACAAGGCTCACCTGTCCAGCCAGGCTCCCTAGAACTGCTCTTTTCACACCACAACCGTTGCTTCTCTCTGGCATCCTCTGGCCCTCCTGTCCTCTACACCCCAACCTCAGATTGCCCCCGAGCCTGATGAAGGGCCCACTCTCTTCTAGCCCCTTACTCTCTCTACCCGCACCTTCCAGTTCCATCCCCCAACTCCACAAGGCACTCCCTGGTCCTCTCAGGGACCTGGGGTCCAGACTCCTAGGCCTGGTAACCCTGGGCTCCCTACTCAAGGCCCAGGAGTCCCCAGAGCCAGCCTCCCTCAACGCAGCCAGATCTGGCCTTGGCTGGGGCTTGGGGGTCTGCTCACCGGTAAGGAGACTGGAAATGGAACCAGGGACCAGGTGGGTAGTAGGGAAGAGGAGAGAGGCACAGAGAAAACCAGACATAGCCAACAAGGGAAGGAGAGACTTAGGGAAGATGGGCACAGGAGGCAGGGTACATAAATCAAATGAGAGAGAGAAAGAAGCTGGGGGTGGGGGAGGATGGGGTGAGGTGGGGGAAACAGAAGAGCTTGTGGGGGGAGATGTGCTGCCCTCACTCAGATCTACTTTGGGCCCCCGCTGCCTTTCCCCATACCCCCCACACCTGCCAAGCACCTAGACAATGTCACCAGCACAGTAAAGGTCTCTCGCACCATGGCAGCTCTCCACCCCACTGCACCTCACAGTAGGTAGAAACTCACACTCTGTGCAGTTCCATACAACAGTCCCAAGAAAGAAACACGAAGTCCCAACCAGGCAAGTACATACACAAAACACTACCAGGAAGAGGCTGGCATTTGGTAGAGGCCAAGGCACACAGGCGGGAACTCCAACCCACAGGCAACACACAAACCCAAGAACGCCCCAACTCCTAAGGGACCCGTTAACAGACAGCCCCACGGGCGCTCGGAGAATTCCCTCTTCCACCAAAGAACCAGGGTTCCTCCAGAGCTCTTACCCCTCCGGAGACAACCGCTGGGTAATCTGGGCGCCAGAGAGGCTGGGCCGGGGGTGGAGCCAGGCCGTGGGTGGGGTCAAGGCTTCCCAAGTAACCTCACCTGGGCGGACACTCGGGCTCCGCCTTCCTGGTGCTGTGCTCAGTGGGAGTCCCGGGCTTGCTGGCCGGGCCCAGCGGCCGCCAGACGCCTCAGGAATGGAGCGGGAGTTCCTCACACCCCAGTGGGACATTCCACACCCCAGGCCCGCGACAGCCCCAGCCCAGTGGCATGGCGGCGCCAGACAGAGGGGTCCACTAGGGAGACGGGAAGAAGCCAAAAAGTTCCGAAACCTTTACCCCCACTTCTTACTCCCCCAGGAGAAATTCCTGGTTGGTGATGCCCACCTCGCCCCAGCCCAGGGCTGGAGGAGTGGGAGGTATGCAGGGCTGGGGCCCAGAGGAGTCAAGTGACAGCGGAAAGGGGGCTGGAGCGGGCTGGAATGCGGGGCTCGGAGCCGAGATTCCCAGGGGCCGAAGAGGGAAATCCCAGCCATTCAGGAGCCCCCAGAGCAGCGCCAACGACCAAGCGTGCCCACCCGCCCATCCGTGATCCCGGAGGCCATCTCACATCTCTTGCATCACTCCCAACCCCAGAGGCCCCCATGTCCTCCTGAACCCCTAAAGGACCCTCCGCCCAACCCCCATCCACAGCTCCCCGCCCCTTCACGCCAATGGCCTCTGGCTGCCCAGGAAGGAGAGGAGGGCAAACAGCTGAGAAAATGTGCGGAGAGGCACGTAGAGAGAGCCGCTTCAGGCCCGCAGACCACCCTGCCGCGGCAAGCAGCTCAGCAGGGCCAGTGAGGGGCATGATGGACCAGATGGGCCGCCCCACACTAGCTGAGCCCTTTTCCCTGAGGTGCAGCTGCCTGGGGGGAAGCTCAGGGTCAGCAGCTGGGGAGAGTGAGAAACGGCTGGCGGGGTGCGGGGACTGGACAAGGCTCTGGGCACAAATCAGACTGATAGCACTGAGTACAAATGAGAAACTGAGGTCCAGGTGTGCGAGGAGGAGAAAGGGATGACCTAGTCCAGGAGTAAGATGATACAGGAGCTCAGCTGTGGATAGCCTGGGGATGGAGAAAGAAGGAATCAGGGACCAGAGGAGGGAGGGGAAGCAGATGGCCAGATGGGGGCAATAGTGAAGGAACCCAGAAAGATGCGGGAGGGAGACTGAGAGCGAGGCTGAGAGAAACCGGGTCAGAGAGACGAAAGTGAAGACGACACTGGCACACAGAGCAAAGGTGGGAGACGAGGAACTCAGGGGGACGGGCTGGGCCGAGTGAGTGAACGGAGAGGAGACAGAGGGGAAAGAGCAACCAAAGGGAGGGTGACAGGAAACCAAGGAGACCTGAGAGGTGAGCAGACAGACCAACAGCGACAAGAGCAAGGACAAAGGGAGAAAACAGGGAGTTGGAGTGAAACAGAAATGGGGAAGGAAGAGGGAGACTGAGGCACAGAGGTTAAAACTAGGGAGTGGGGAGATGAGTTGTAAAAGAGGCTGAGAAACGAAGGGGCAACTGTGGGACAGACCAGGAGGCCCAACACTGAATCAAACCTTGTTACTGGGCATCAGGACACAGGAGTCCCAGCCCTCCCTCTGGGGACAAGCTAGCCTCTAGTTCTTTGCAAGGAGGGGAAGAGGGGGAGGATGGGGAATAGAGTTGGGGCCACTCTCTCAGCCCGCTGCCCTTCTCCCACCCACAGCGCCTCCAGCCAGGAGGTGGTCCCACCCCACAAGGGGAGGGCCCAGCTGCAGTTCCCACTCCTGCCCTTCCAATTTATCTCTGGCTTTCTCCTTCTCACCTCCAGCTCGGGGTTCTCTTGGGTCCTGTTCTCCCCGGCCTTAGGCCTTTGGTGTTCCAGGCCTGGGGCTGCTGAGGCCGCCTGGCTTTGTCCGCACGACCGGGGCCCCGGGGCCCGGGAGCAGCTGCCCGGGCCAGCTGCGGCTGGCTTCGCCGTGACCATGGCAACCTAGCCCGCTCCCCTCCTCTGAGCCTCCCAGCCCCCGCAGAGAGGGAGGGAGCAGCCTGACCACGGAGAAAGGGAGGGGAGGCCGAGGACTGTGAACCGAACCAAAGGGAGACCACAGACAAAGACACCCCAGACAAAGGGAGGTGAAGCCGGGCCCAGCAGAGAGAAAGCAGCCTTGGTTGGCGGGGGCTGAGAGCTTAGGCAGCTGCGGGCCTTTGGCGGGGCTGAAGGGGTGAGCCCAGACCAGAGAGGCACAGAGAGACTTGAGGGAGGAAACAGATTAGAAGTGACTGGTGGTGGTCCTTAGGAGATCTCCTTCTGGGTCTCTGACAGTTTACTTCCTCCACCCAGGACTTTTGTGCTCCTTTGGCTTTGGTTTGGATTGAAGGGGGAGGCTGGAGAGAAGTATTAATAATGTGTCTAATCACCATGTGAAGGGAAGCCAAGTACCAGATGGAGAGGGGAGAAAGCAAGGCCTTGCCTTCTGAGAGGTGAGGATTGAAATGCCACTCACCATCTGGCTGATCTTGGTGGAACTGTACAACCCCCAAGTTCCTTCACCTGTAAAATGGAGATAATATCTGTCCCTGAGTCTGTGGTGATGATAATATGATATTCCAGTTGCCTTCCAGTTGACACCAACTCATGCAGACCCCATGTGTGTCAGAGTAGAACTGTGCTCCATAGGGTTTTCAATGGCAAGGCATCTCTGGGTGGACTTGAACCTCCAACCTTTTGGTTAGGAACTGAGTGCTTTAACCATTTGCACCACTTAGGGACTCCTAATATGAGATAAAGTACAAGCCTATCTGATGGAAGCAACCATCCAAATGATGCGAACATGATCTCCCTCTGTGTCAGTCTGAATTCCACTTCGCAAATCGTTCCACCCACAGTTACTATTAAGGGTTTGCCCAGGGCATTAAAAGCTATTCTCTGTCCTCTGGGCATTTACAGTCCAGAGGGGGCATCAGGTACATATATGTATGCAGTAAAAGATGGGAGACCTGGTAGCACAGTGATTAAGAGTTTGGCTGCTAACCACAAGGTTGGCAGTTTGAATCTACCAGCTGCTCCGTGGAAATTCTATGGGGCAGTTCTACTCTGTCCTATAGGGTCACTGTGAGTCAGAATCGACTTGAGGGCAACAAGTTTGGTTTTGATGTGTTTTTTTAGTAAAAGACAAGATAAACTCGTGCCATAGGCAGAGCTGGAAGGGGCCATGGGAATACAGAGGAGAGGTAGGCCAGATCCTCCTGAGTGGGGCAGGAGGCAAGGCTGAGGAAGAACTCCTGGACA